TTACACCGATCGACTTGTTACACCTAACCCTTGAACTTCTAGCTCTAGACATTGTTTAAAGCTAAATGTACCCTCCGGTGGTATAACCGTCCTTCGGCGTAACACACCATCTTCTGTATCTGTATAGCCCGTATAACCACCCTTCGGCGTAACACACCAGCTTCGCAGGCACGCGGCGCGGCGGCAGCTGGCTACATTACACCGAACGACTTGTTACACCTAACCCTTAAACATCTAACTCTTAACATTGTTTAAAGCTATCAAATGACAATACCCCTATACTACTGTACTTGGTGACAGTAACTTCCACCTCAATCCTTGGTTCATAACAATGGTACTTGAAAGCATGGCTATTTCTTATTCTTTTCTGAGCTGGTATATATTAGGCACTTAGGCCCTTTTCCCACTAGGATAAAATTGTCCGGATCGAGCCGAACCGATTCGCTTTGGTCCGGCTTCAAGCCATCTTCGAGCCGGGTCGAAGCTGGATCAATCCGAATCAATTCGGCTCGATCCGGACAACCTTATCTTAGTGTAAAAGGGCCTTAGTATTTGGTACGTCCACCACCACCTAGCATACCGGAGACAAAACCAATACACGTCCAGCCGCGCGTCTCAGTTACACGCACTTTTGGCTGTGAATGCGCCAACTCCAAACGGAGGCGCTCGCCTGCACGGTTCACCAATGATTGCACCTTCGAGCGATGATTGACGGCTGGACGGGGTGGTATGGTGGGGGGACCCCCTGTGGCTTACTCGGGGAAGTTTCTACCATCCTAGGCTTCCGAGGGGGTGATGTTAGTTATCCTCTACCAGGCTACGTGGAGAAATGAATTCTACGGTGGCTAAACTCCCTATTGGCTATTTTTTTTAAAACCTGCACTGTTAGTTTGGTGGAGACTAACATTAGAGGCAGCTAGAAGGAAAGAGTAGAAATCGTCCAAAAGAGAGATAACTTGCCGAGGGAGTTGGTCCGCTAGAGAGGACAGTTTGGCCGATTTCTACTCTTTCCAGCCGCCTCCCGAAGCCTGGTAGAGGCTAAATGTTAGTCTCCACCATATATATATGCATTAGGAAGAACACCTTGACCTTGTGTACTTCCTAGGCTCATTTGTTAAGGGAAAGGGGTATCTATTTGGTGTAAATTAAGAGTCAAGCCCCCTGGTGTTTCAAAGCAATAATAATAGCATCAATACAACAATAATGAGTATAAATGTCGATTAAATTGTTAGTAGCAAAATATCGTCCTATGGTGCTAGTCACGGAGGTTTAATACTCGCAAGTGGTCTACTTAGCATTAGTGGTATGACGTGAGCTCAAATCAAGAAGAAAACATACGTACATTTGTATCCTACCCTTCACATGCATGAATTCTCTAACACTAGTAACAGAAAAATTATGAATGAAAGCGACATCGATCTTAATCAATTATCAAGATTATCAAGTCAAACCCGGTAGTTTGTAGGAGTTATCAGTAGTTCTCTGTGTATTAATTACCTGTTCTTGTACCAAATGTTTCTTTTGTACTTGCAATTAGCCCTTGGACATGAATTTCCAATAAAACAGTTTATTATTATGATTCCCCATCTAGCCCATAAATGGTACATCCCTGGGTCTTTCACTCCCCAACACCGCTCCATGCTCGGGCGACGTTTTTCAGTTCAAATTACACCATTGATTCCCTTCCTTGTTGTACGCTTGACAGAAAGGCGGGGACGGCCGTCAGCCACCTCTGTCGTTGGACAAGGGAATATCTATTAGACCTGCCAGCGAGGGAAACACAGTAGCGTGCTTGCCATGCCAATCTGCATAACAAAGGCTTGGGGAGAGCGCACTCCGAGGGGCGTTTCTACTACTAGCTCCAGCTGGTCCGGGGCAACATACGGCGGTGTGTACACCATGGGCTGGCAGGATGGGGGCAAGCGGGTCCTTCTGCTAGTGCTCCTATGGGCTGCCGTCTGTACGGTGTGCGCGGAGGCGGCGAGCACTGCAAGCCGACGCTGCCCCACCTGCTCTTCTTCCTCTCCACCAGAAACAGACGTCCAGGGCAAGGTGGAGAACGCGCTGAGACTGGAGCTTATCAAGAGGCAGATTCTCGACAGGTTAGGCCTGGACGCTCGCCCCAACATTACCAAGGCCGTGCCGCGAAGGGCCATTCACTCGGCGCTTAGGAGGCTGCACGCCGAAGACCTCATCACCCAAGTCGCCACTCCTGCTCCCGAAGACCAGGATTTGGACGGGCAACAACAAGAACAGCACGAAGAAGTGCAAACAGTAGAGATCATCAGCTTTGCAGAAGCAGGTAAGAAGAAAGCCACGCTGTTATTACTACAACGTTAAGGTCAAGTACGTTATGTGCTAGCTCCCAATAGCATCGCACTGTTATAATAGCCTCCATAGCACGCCGAACCTGGGGGTTTGGGGGGTCTTCAAGGTCTTTGGGAGCTTTAATGTGCTATTTTCTGATTGCATATAGGCAACATAGCCGGACTGGTTGAATTACCCCCGTTTTTTGAACTGGGCTAATCAGAAAACAGCCGAAGACCACCAGTTCTATAAGCCTGCTACAGAGGCTACTGTTATGAGTGGACTCGGTGTATGTAGCGCCGGCACAAAGTATACGGTTGGACTACAAGGCCAATTGGTTCTTGAGAGTGGCCTTCGGGCTTGTTTGTCGGGATCTTTAGGCCTTTATCCCCCGTAGCCTGTAGGATTTGGTTAATTACTTCCGAAGTTCTTCTCGACACGCTTGGGCTAGCCCTCTTAACCGGCATAATATTAGTAATCGTGATTTTGTATAACGTTTCTAATCACACCCTACCTAGACAAAACGTAGTTGTAAGCATCTGATTCGATGACTGAAAATGAAGGTATTGTTTTGAGAAAGCCAGGTGTGGGTGGAGACACAACATTTTTGTTTTTCGACCGCAGAACGTCAATATAACCCGGCGATCTGTCGTCAGTACGGGAATTATTGTGACTTAAGTGTCTTGTTTCCTCGCGATAATAAGCGGGGATGTGGCCCCTGGGGTTTAACATACCTTCGGAAGGCCATTATTCGAGCCGCGCTGTTTGGTATTTAGGCACGCGCTACCACGCGTGGTGTAGTATTGGGCGGTATAGTTAACACTAATGGACTTACAATAGCCCGTACCATAAACACATCGCTGCAATCTAATAGCCTCTACCAGGCTTCGGGAGGCGGCTAGAAGAGTAGAAATTGGCCAAATAGAGAGATAGCATGCCAGGGGTGCGGCAAACTGTTCTCTCCAGCAGACCAACTCCCCTGGCATGCTATCTCTCTATTTGGACGATTTCCACTCTTTCCAGCCGCCTCCCGAAGCCTGGTAGAGGCTAGCAACCTAGCTACCATCATTAAGTAGGTGTCTCCCCAGAAATTATTAGGGTTGATGAAAAATCAGCAAATTTTCATGAAAATACTAAGGGAAAACCCCATAATTTGAACATTTTAGGAGACTTGCTTCATTGCCTGGGGAGAGCCCTGAACACATCTCTGCAATCTACCATTATTTATTAGGTGTTTATATGTATTGTAATTGTATTTTGCAGCGGATGGCGACCTGGGGAGAGAATATATCCAGTTCAAAACGTCGGAGAACAACGCTGAGACGACGGTCGCGTCGCGGGCCGTGACCTGGGTGTTTCTGAAACTGTACGCGGACAAGATGGCCCTTCGGAAGCCCGTGTCGGTTACAGTGGACCTGGCGCGGGTGAAGTCGGCAGGGCCTGGGCTACAGCAGCTCGACACTGTGGTGAGAAAGACGCTTCTGGTCACAAGGAGCGGTTGGCACTCCTTCAACGTCGCCGCCGCCTTGAGGGACGTCTTGGAGACGGGTGAGAAGAAGGTGACGTTCCGCGTCAGGTGTCACGGCTGCGGCAGCGTGGTGAAACCGATGCTGCTCAGCGACGTCAGCGTCCTGCGTCGACGTAGAGGTGAGGAGGGCGCCGCCGACGGTAGTAGCCTCCATCACAAACTACAGGACGTCGATTTAGACGAGGTGAAGCACCCCCACCACCCCTTCCTGGTCCTCAGAACGCGCTCGAAGCCTGGGAAGAGGAGAAGTAAGAGACAGGCGGACAGAGGAGCGTGCAGAAAGCACTCCCTCTTCGTAAGCTTCGAGCAGCTTGGCTGGGACGATTGGATTATTGCTCCAATGCCAGGGTACCAGGCGAACTTTTGCGCGGGGGAGTGCCCTTCAGTACAGTACCCCGAGACTACAGCGTCCTTCCATGCCCTTCTCGGGGACGAGAAACGTTTCGACACCCCCTACGCTACCTACATCTCTCCATGCTGCACGCCCACGAAAATGAGCTCCATTTCAATGTTGTATTTTGACAAAGACAATAACATTGTGAAGGCCGACGTCAGAAACATGGTCGTCGACGAGTGTGGGTGCAAATAAGTTCCTTTCAAAGGAACAACGGACTCTCAAAAGAGAATCGTGGACAGATACGTCGGCATCCAAAAGGTATCTGTCCCCCCCTAGTAACCGATTTTACGCAGCCCTGGCCGGCATTTGAAATCCGTTTCTGGAATGTTGAATTGGAATTCAAGCCCGCCATAGGGAGCCGTTGGCACTTGCGTGGTATGTATATCGCTATATTGGCGTATTGTGTTCTCGCCTCAAAGGCATGTACATGTGTGTTTGTTCAAATGAGAGAGATTATGAGATATATTTGTAAACTATTTGTAAAACTAGCAACCAAATGATTGTATAGTCGCCAGTGATGAAATGCTGCAATTGATTGAGCTACGAGTCGAGTCAACCGAACCCAACCCTTGAATTGAAGATGCGAAGCAGTCTTCTAAGTTCTTTAGACTCGTGTTATTGTGCTCGGCGACACGCGGTCTAGGTCATTGACCTTTGTTGACATTAAGGGAACTGAATATTAAGATTTTTTTTGAAAAGTGGCAAAGTATCCGTTCCCTTTCGAAGGTTTTAAAAAATCTTCACCCTGTAGGCAAAGCAAACATTATTTTCCCGACCCTGTCTACGCAGTACAAACAATAAAACACGCTTACAACTGACACTTTGTAAAGTTGTAATAAGAAAAGACGATGCTTTACAAAGCGAAAGGAGAGTTAGACCGATTTTGCCGTATTTGATGACACAGACAAAATCTTCACCCTTAAGGCAAAACAAACCTTTCCCCCACCCTGTTATTACATACATTAAAACACGCTAACAACTGAAACTCTGTAAAGTAGTAATAAAAGACAGCGAGAGGAGAGTTAGACTTGCAGTATTTGATGACACAGTTGTTCGCAAAGGAACGAAGCCAGACAAAACTTGCACACAACAAAAGCCGGGGTATGCGGCGACCCCTGACCGACTGAAAAGGGAGGCCCGGACCTGAGCAAACACCGAAGACCAGACGTGCAGAAACAAATAATACCCGTACGTCACACGGAACGCAGACCAGTGCTGAAAAAGCTTCAGGAATGCAGTCCCCATTCCCATGTTTACCTGTCTACAACCAAGAGGGGATGTCCGTTACCGAGCCATATCACCGAACAACGAGGGTCAGTGAAAAAATCAGCACAGACAACATAACAAGCCTCGCAACGTGTTATTAAAGCTTCGAAATTTATCAACTGAAACCATGGAATGTATTTGCTGCTTTCTGTTGCTGGAAGGATTTAATTTTGTGGAGCAGGTTTTTACGTAGTTGCAAGATCAGTTGTAGTACAAAACGTGCTTCATGTAGCTTGTCAACAAGGTTCATTGTTTCACTACTATCTGTACTTGACCCAACGATTCGTGTTTCTGAAAAGAAGACAAAATTGGAGTGAGAGAGAGCAAAGGAGCGAGAGAGCAACTCCACTACCAACACCAAGGTTGGGTTTAGTCTCCACCAGACTTCTTTTGCAGGCTGAATAAATCGCAGAAATTGGCCAATTTGATCGTCGATGGCCGGCTACCTTCTCTCGCCAATCAATACCATTTTTAGGCCGATTTCTACGATTTATTCAGCCCGCAAAAGACGTCTGGTGGGGACTAAAACTCCACTACCAACACCAAGGTTGGGTTCGACACGGTAAGGCTGTTTTCAAACAAGCGTGTCTTCGGTTACAGCAATAGGCACCGCGACCAAGGTCGCCCCTAAATCCCCAAACCCACGCGACCTTCTTAGCCAGGGGATCAAAATAAACTTGAAAACTCGTGGCTGTAACAACAAGAACCCTCTCGTGCTCCAACCGGGCACCCTTTTTTTCAGAAACAAGCAAGAATTGTTAGGTCAAATACAGATAGTAAAACAAGGAAACTTAAACCTGACAAGCTACATGAAATACGTTTTGTACTACAGCTGATTTTGTCACATAAAAACCTGCTCCACAAAATTAACTCCTTCCAGCAACAAAGCAGCAAATACATTGCCTTTCAGACATTCATAAGGACAGCTTTTCTAGCTACTATTGCCACTCAACCCTCGCTCTGTATGTATGGATGTTATTGGACTTCTATGCCGTTGTTATACTGGTCTTACTATACTACGACGATGCAAATTCTGCTGGAACTCCCAGCTCTCCAATATCATGAAATCGGAGCGAGACACAAAGGGAAAGTATTCCGGCATTGATACGACGCCACAGTGCTTAGCACCGGAGCCTATAGAGTTGATCGATGGTACAGCAACAGTATTTTGGCAGGCGGGACAATGGATCGAGATGGGGTGATTCCGATAAGATTGGGCAGGCAGTGGACATTGGGTGTAAAGAGGCACGGTATGTAGTGCGGAGTGACGATAATGAAGTCTGCTATTTAGGCACATGCTGTCCCCTAGGGGTGTTGACACACAGGACGGACCACCCGACTGCTCTCCAAGCAGAGGTTTGGGGTTTGGCTTTGTGTTTTAGGCGTTCATTGAGCTTTCTTTTTGCACTGGTTGAGTTGGTGTAAAATGAGATACAAAAGCCCGCTAAAAAAGCCTAAAAACACGCCAAAAATTAACCAAAACTCAACCACCCGACGTGGAGAAGCCTGCTACTCTCCAAGCAGAGGTTTGGGGTGGGATTTTTGGCGTTTTTTTAGGCTTTTTATCGGGCTTACCTTAAGAGATACCAGTGCAAAAATGAAGCCCATTTAAAAAGCCTAAAAACACGCCAAAAGTAAGCCCAAACCCAAACCACCCGACGCGGGGAAGTGCCTGCTACTCTCCAAGCAGAGGTTGGGGGTTTGGCTCACCTCAAAGCATTGAAAAAAAATAACGCCACCACCCCATAAGTCTGCGAATGAGGCTACCAAAAATAAGCCAAAACCCAAACCTCTGCTGGGAGAGAAGAGAAGTGCTACCCCCCCC